CTGGGGATAGGGAACTGGGTTTGACATGTAAATGTTTCTAATTTAAAATTGTTCTGATTACAATTATAATAATAAAAATGTTTCTATTTTTTCTTCTTTCTTTCTTTTTTTGTTGTTTTTAGAGACAGGGTTTCTCTGTATTGTTTTGGAGCCGATCCTGGAACTCACTCTGTAGACCAAGCTGGCCTCAAAACAGAGATCAGTCTGCCTCTGCTTCCATAGTGTTAGGATTAAAGGCTTGAGCCACTAATGCCCGGCTAAATGGTGTTTCTTGTATTGATGATCTATCCAAGACCTTTCTCATGAAGGCATGCTGGATTTTTGTGGAAGTGATTTTCGGCATCTAATGAGATGATCATGTGGGGATATTTCTTTCAGTTTATTTGTATGGTGGTTTACACCGATGGATTTTCGTATATACAACCAGCCCCTCATCTCCCGAATGAAGCCTACTTCATCTTGCTGGATAATGTTTCTGATACAATCTTAGATTCAGTTTTACACTACTGTACTGAGTATTTTTGCATCCATGTTTATGAAAGTGATTGGTCTGCAATTTTCTTTATTTTATGTTAGTGTGTTTTTTGTGTCTGGGTAACCATAGCATCATAAAGTTTGACATTGTCCCTTCTTTTCGATTGTATGGAATAATTTGAGGAGGATAAGTATTAGCTCTTCTTTAAAATTCTGGTTGATTTTTCTGCACAGAAAACATCTGGTCCTTAGCTTTTTATACTTGGGAGCCTTTTGATGACTACTTGAATTTTCTTTGGAGTTATAGTTCTTTTTAATGTCTTTGTCAGATGTTGATTTTTTTTATTTTGATATGTGGTACTTATTCAGGGATTTGCCCATTTCCTCGAAATTTTCCAATTTTGTGTAGTACAGGATTTTGAAGTATGACCAGTTAGTCTGAAATTCATTAGTGCATGTCATTATGTCCCCCTTTTCATTTCTGATTTTGTTACTTGGATATTCCCTCTCTGCCTTTGGGTTAGTTTGGATAAATATTTGTAGATCTTGTTGGTTTCCTCAAAGAACTTATTCTTAGTTTCAGTGATTTTTTTTGTATATATTTTTATGGGTTTCAATTTGATTGAGTTCAGTCCTCAATTGTGTTACCAGATCAGCCAGCAGTGATGTGAGATGTGAGGCAAAGCATGTCTGAAAAGGGAACACAGGTGTTGAGCAAGCTGGCTGAGGACCGCTCCAGCTGCTAGCATGCAGGCATGGGCTGAGAGTGGTAGTCGGAGGAGGGGGGATCTAAACGAAATGTGCAACCCACATGGAAAAGGAAGCCAGATGTCAAAAAAAAACACACGCACAATTGCATGGAAGAAACACATGTTACAGGAGCTGCCTGAAGGCAGAGCCAGCAAGTCTGAGCAGGCAAGTACGGCTGCTTTTGGATCCCAAGTTCTCCAGAGTTGGGGTATATGGAGTTTGCTGCAGACAGACTGCAGGAACAACAACAAAAAAATCCCAAACCCACTTTCAGGCTTCTGGAAGAGAGTAGAACCTAGCCTATGAGGAGGGAAGTCCAACAAGCATCCGGTGTGCATGTCCAGCGCATGCTGATGGCTGCAAAGCTACGGGCAAGAGTCATTTTCGTGATTTCATGCCTTAAATTGAGAGCCAAGTGTAGCATGGATTCTAGATGGTCTTAATAAAAACTTGGAGTCAGATATTAGGGTGTGACAGCTGAAAGATCAGAGAAGCAGAGTAGCCATCTATAACATTTACGAAATCCTCAGGCTGAAAAGAAAGTTAATACTTGACTTTTCATGCCTTATATTACTCAATATGCCCAGCCATTTCACTTCCTTTCTATCTATATATACCTCCAGACCTCTATGGCTATACAGTGGCTAGTTCTCCACTGTGATCTTCAGGCAGGCTTTATTTCTTAGAGGACAAACAATATATCACCACAGTGTACATGGAACACTGGATGGAGTCTTACCTAGAGTTTCTAGGACCAGCCTGGCCTCCCATAAGGCATCCAGAGCTGTGTGGCTTTGTGTGATGCTCAGGGGACTAGGTTTTCAGGTTGTTGGACAGGCTTAAAGGTATTTAGTGGACGGTGGGAGGTGTCTTCCTTGGGAACCTAGGTCCATTCTGGCCTCCAGTAAAGCTGCCGGGAATGTGGGCCATAGTGTGAAGAACTGGGCAGGGGAAACTCACATTTCTTGCCCTCCAATGTCCTATAGAACAGGTCACTGGGATCTTAAGACTCAAAGG